GCGGAGGAGGGTTCGCCGGCGCACGCGGCTTTGGAGCCGGAGCTTCTGGGGCCTCCTCGGCCTCAATGGCATGTGTTGGTGCTCGCCGCCAAGGGGCGGTTGCCCGGGGTTTAGCCGCTGGACGGGGTGGACTTTCATCATCGTCCACGTCCATGGCGTGTACCTCAGTGTTCGGATGCACCAACAATTCAGGCTGTGGCACCGTGAGACCACCTGGCTCTCTAGTGGGACGAGTCCTCCACACATGGTCGGGAAGATCGTATACACTGTCGCGAGCCGTGTCCATTGGGATGGGTTGCGCGGGTGGTTCACGAACAGCATGCTGAAGCCTAACAAATCCGCGCTGACGCGGTTGCTGTGCCCCTTTAGGCTGATTAGGCTCCGGTTGAGGAGCTTCGGCTTTGGGGGGCTGTGCAGGTATTGGCAGGCTTCGAGCGCTTGCTTTTGGTGGGGGCGGCCTACGAAGTTTAGCGTGTGGTGGTAAATCTTGAGGCCTATGAGGAGTATTCAGATATTCGGGGTCTAAAGGTGGTGGATTAGGGGGAGTTGCAGTTGCGAGCGCACGCCTAAACCGACCGGACCTTACGGCTCGGGTTATGGTGTTGGCTGCACGAGTGCGAACCGCCTCCAAATCCTCGCCTTCAATCTCGACCACCGGATCTGGCTCGAAAGCTTCCTCCTCCTCCCGCGCAAGCGCGGTTCCGCCCTGGTCGTCCGGTTGGACTGTGCCCTCCTCCTCCGCTCCATCTGGATATCCAGGATAGGATTAGGCACTCCCTCCTCAGCTGGTCCAACACCATCCATAGGATCATCTGCCTGTTCTGAGGTATCGGCAAGATGGACCGTGCGTGTTGGCTGTTCCGTGTCCGCGAGTGACTCAGCGATTTCACGATTAGGCCTCGGACACGGCCTGGTTGGACGAGGAGGTCGCACCGACTCTGAAGTCCGGGTCTGGGACCTAGATCTCGGATTACCTTGCGGAGTTTGGGATCGGGGTTGCACACGATGATCAACAGGCCTCAGCTGCGGCCTCCAGCCCCCTGACGAACTGGCAGCGCTTGCGCCCACTACGGGCTGGAATGCGCGCGCCGGAACGGTAACTGGAAAGGCTTGCTGAGCGGGCGGCGCCGCCTGCGATGAAGTCGCCGCTGAGGAACGGACCTGGCGGAGTGGAATGAATTTATAGGTCTTCTGATAGTACCCGGGTGGTTGCTTAACACCATTCGATATATCAGGCATATTACGGGCGCACCAGGACCAGAATTCTGGTATGATCGCTGCCCAAGCCTTGAGAGCCCCGTCGGAGATGTCACCTTCCTCGCGGGACTCAGCCCATGCGTCGGCATGAAAGACGACGTACTTGTACCATTCAGAATAATAGTAATAATCTTTCCGCGCTAACAGCGGTTTCACGAACGGCAAGTGGTAAGTTTTGCCGACTCGACGGTAGGTATGTGATGCTAGGTGACTGGCAATGAGGTCACACGTGATCGCATACTTTTCATCCGATTGTTCAAATTGATGCTTCTGGCCTCCTCTCGCGCCGCGCGTACGCTTGGGTTGAGGATCGACGGCCGCTGAAGCAGTTTGTGATGCCTCCGCGCTAGGCGCGGTTTCTTCGTCAGCCACGTCCGCCTCCTGCTGCTCTTGCTTGGCGGTGGGTTCCGCCTGATCGTCAGGGTCGACGTCAGGTTCCTCATCACCAAAGTCAACCTCCGCTTCGTCAAAGACCGGGTCAGTGGCCAGTGACTCAAACTGCGTTGGATGATTGTGAGTGTGCAGCGGGGGTAGGCCCACGGGAGATGCTGAGGGATCGGCATATACTTCCTCCTCTACTTCTTCCTTAGTGGTGGGCTCTATCTTAGGTGGGCCTAACAAAGAAAAGGCATCGAAGGGCGGTTCCTCGGCGTTATGGGGGCCTAACGAATCGTCCTGAGCTGACGAGACCTCTCCGCGCGAAGCAGCGGTTCCGGTCTGGAGCTCTGCTTCGATAAGAGGGGTTTCGTCGTTAAGAGCACCAAGGGTGTTGGTCTCAGGCGGCAATTCAATGGTGGTCGGCTCTGCGACAGGCTCTTCTTGCTGAAGATCGTCGACCTCCTCCGCCCCTGCGGTTTCTGAACCTAGAGGCGTGAATGTAGGCTGGGAGGACGAAATGCCTGAGGCGACACGGGGAGTAAGGGGTGGCTCTTGCACGGATGCCTCCCCGAACTCTTGGTCCGTGGTCTCCACGCTAAGCGCGGTTCCGACCACTCCCTCAGGGGAAGCAGGCGCTTCTTGATCCTGAGGGTCCCCAGCAGGCGCCGTGGCTTGTGCTGCAGCCGATGATGACGCAGCGGCGCCGGTTGCTTGCGGCTGGGGATTGACTCGGCCCATCGGTGGTCTGTGGAGGTACGAAAAACGCGCCGCAAGGGACCACTCAACGGGGTCGAGTGACGATGCCTGTAGCTCACGGCTACGGCTGATAACCAATTGAGTGTACAATCCAGGTGGGACGTAGGGGAACGCCCAGCTTATCCTATCAACAGGTAAGTGATAAAAGAAGTAAGCTAGATCCCTGGAAGCACGGTCTATGTTTATTATTACCCGGGGGGAGTCCGAAGGACGAGTACCCGTGGTTACGAAGTGCAGGCGAACGAACGAAAGCACGAAAGGCACGAAGTGCAGGGCACGAGAGCGAAGCGAAAGTGCACCCAGACACCGTCCAGTGTGCACGGCACCCTGCGGAAAAGGGCAGCGGAAGTGCACCTTTTCCTTGAGCCAAATTGTGACGGTTGGACGTACACGTTTGTGACATCCTGTGAACCGTAGCTAAATAGATAGACATGTACAAGTAGTGAATAGCTGTTACATACTAGGGGTCCTCAAAAAATGACTACTACACGTCTTAGCACAACCGCCTCATATACCTGCTCTCCTCACACTTCGTTCTTGACTTTTCATCTCACTACTCCGTCTCCCATATGATGTTCATATACATTTGGAATTTGTAAAACTTATCATGTGGGGTTATCCGGTCCTTTTGAAATATAAATATGTTTTTCGTTGGGGGGAGGGGTCAGGGGGTAGGCCGCTAAGAGGTAGGAGGTATAGGCTACTAGTGAGTGATTTGCTCTATTAGATACTAAAGACATCTAAAGACGCTCCTAGTATATAACTAGGACGCAAGATAGTTCATGCTCCTTTGAGGAAGCTCCCCAGCCGCCCTAAAAGCGGCGAGGGGGAGCTTCGTTGAAGAAGCACTCGCACTAATAGTTTGTTTTTAGCGGAACTTGATGCTGGGGTGCCTCAAAGGTGTTTTCCTTCGCCATTCTGCGAATGTACCTGAACCGAAGGAAGAGAAGGAGAGCCGATGCAGATGAAGATACAATATGAAATCAAACGGCCTAAGGCTTGGAAAACTTACCTCCGATCATGAAGACAAAAGCAGCCAGAAGGACGCACGGGTGTAAAGCGGCAGCGTTGTGCTGGCTTTTCGGAAGGGTTCCAAAGCAATGTTTCAACAGGATACCTGGAACACCCGGCAACGGCCGAAACCAAAACAAAACAATGAAGCACTCCTATGAGCCTATGAGTACCTCTACTCCAGATTTGCCCGATGATAATTGAAACACAAAAACTTAAGAACCTGAGTTCCACACCTGCGCTGCGGACGCGGCACAACCCGCCAAAATGCAGGACCCTTTGGTGCCACGCCTTGCCAAGTCAGAAAGTGTCAACGTTTGAATTTGACGAAAGGATGAGAGCTTGAGAAGGAGCCTGAGAAGAACCTGAAAGGGATGAGACGAAAACCAGGGCCAGCAAGCAGCCGCCCAAAAGTTTTCGAAACGATTTTTGCCATTCTCTCCATCTCTCAATCTCACTATCTCTCTACCCTTCTCTCCAACTTTATCCAGACACCCAGCCGCCCACCCATTCGTCTCACCAGCCACATCCACATCTGTTTTTCATCTGTTTACGCCTAGCCACATCTACTTAACAATCTCTCTGTCTCTCTGTGGCTCCATCTCCCTATCTCTTCACTTGGCCTCTCTGTCTCGCTATCTCTCTGACACTCTCTCCCCTTCTATCCATCCACCCATCCACCCATTCATCCAACTATATAGCACCCTTTGACCTTTCTATACTCTACACACATCCATCTATCCGCATCTACCCAACAATCTCTCTATCGCTCTATGTCTTTGTCTCTACTCTCTCGCCTTCTATCCATCCTCCCATCCATCCAGCTAGCCATCCCAACAAGCTGCCTACAAGTGCATTAAAGATGCAAATGACGCAAGCCTATCAAACTTGCGCATCCTCGCACCTGAAAGAGGGGCCCCCCTTACTTCGCTAAACAACTCTTGCCTAGCCTGTTGGCTGGCTTTCGTGATTTAGTATACCTTCTGACTACCTTTCTGAAGAGCCGAACTTAGCTCACTTGAGCTCACTTAAATTGGCAATCTGTGCGCCGCACCGTGGATGCTGCCAGAGTGGAGTATTGCAGCACAGCTAAGGCCAAAGACTAGCACCAACTTGTTGTTGACATGCTGGGCTTGGCGGTGTCTCAAAGATGAAGTTCCTTTTGACGCAAAGGGTCTTGGGGGGTTGGCCCAGTTGGCAAGTATCAAGCAGTTCTTCAATAGGTCGCAAAGTCTGCAAAGTCCTTCGTTACAGAACGTGGTCAAGACAATCGATGCTTCTTTTAAGCAGTTAACATCCTGCTAGGCTGCTCAAGCAATGCCATGAAACCACATTCGCAAAGTACAAATCCAAAGCAAGACAGGTTTTGCTCATCAGCGCGACATGTTTTTTCTAATGCAACAAATAAAGCATAGATTCACGACAACGCCTTCGACGCACCAATAAAATCCTACTTTTGTTGCAACCCAATGCGCTTTGAAAGTCTTGACACTCAAGCTTCTTCTGTGCCCGGGCGCTTTGCGCCACGATTGAAACGATCCCTTGATTGGGGAAGAGAGGCAAAGGCTTGCTTTTGGGTCGCCTCGACTCTCCAAATTCCCAAGTGAACCATGTCATCCAATATATTGTTATTCTTTCATCGTCATCAAGTTATTATGTAGAGGACTCGCATCCGAAACAATTGAACATCTGCATTGCTCATCAAGTCAAGGCTGGCATCTCTCGCTTGGAGCTTTGCAGTGAGAGTCAGGACCGCCGGTCTGGATCCCAGCCGTACCTGTGCGTCTTCATGTCCCCTGGTAGCTTTATTGTTCCTAGTAGCTTCTTGTTACTACTAGTAAGGCACTTGTTACTAGAAGCGATGCACTTGTTCCTAGTAGCTTTATTGTTCCTAGTAGTAAGGCCAGGAGCCCCTAGTAGCGTCCTTGTTCCTAGTAGCGATGCCAGGAGCCCCTAGTAGCTTCTTGTTCCTACGAGCATGATCAAGTGCAGTTCTCCAGTTCTCCATCTTATTCTCCGTTCTTCGCACTTCACACTTGGGGCACTTCACCAACCAACCTTCTCTGTACATCATCATGAAGCCGTGTTTGTTCATGCAAGTCCACCTCCACCAGTCCAAAGGGGCCCAAAGCATGGCTCAGAAGGGCTCTGCACACGTGCCTTTTGGCACCTCGGTTGTATCCTTCCGTGATTCCACGAAGACGTATGCGATTCCGGCCCACAAACCTTACGATCAGCAACACAAGAAGTTCCACTAAGCACCCTTCCAACAGCAAAGTGTTTTGATATCTTAGCCAAGAGCCTGTTAATCGGAATCTTTCCTCTGACACCGAAATTCTCGTAGATTGCCTGGTCAAGGCAAAGAATCACGTCACTACCTCGTTGCAAAAATGGTTGCCTTTGTACTTTGCCCAAGCACATCCAACCAATGGCTTAGTGCTTGCGGTTAGAATAGGATACGCTCACCGCCTTGTACACGCGAGTGTTGACTTCGCTTTTTTCAAAGGCTTTCCTTGCCATCCAATCCCTGGCGGGGGAAAGCCACAATGCTGTAGGTTGGGAGCTCCGCCACCACAAGGAGGCCAACTGCAAATCTGCCTAATAGCGATGGCCTCCACCTAGTAGCGTCCTTGTTCCTAGTAGCGATGGCCTCCAACCTAATAGCGATGGCCTCCACCTAAAAGAAAATATACTCGATGTTGAAGGTCAACTGCAAACATGCATACTATAAATGCAAATGCCGTGCAGGCTCCTGTTCATAAAACGACAATAAGATGGGAATCCAATGGGAGTCCTTAGCTGCCAACATATCAGCAACTTCAGACGGCCAAGCCCTGACCCTGAAACCGTTTTGGGAAACATGCAAAACTAATCGTCTAAACCTTTTGATCTACCTTAAACCCTCTCTTCTATTGCATCGGAAATCAATCGCGTTCACTGCTCTTGAAGCTTCTGAGGGACTGCTGGAGAAAGGGCCCTGGAATGCGAGCTGCCATGGTGCCCGAGAAACCAAACAACTAGCTTGCGCAGGATGTCAGTGTGCAAAGGCTTCCAAGGAATGCAAGAACCTAACACTGGATCGCGTCACCTGCTGGTGTCATGTCTGGAAGGCTGTTCCATCTTGTGATCGCTTAGAGCCACTGCATGTTGCTCAGGCCTCAGGTTGTGGCAAAGCTGCGCTCGGTCTCAACATGAATCAATAAATCGCAAGTGCAAAGCTGCATGTGGAAAGATAGTTCAGTTCAGCTTTTGCCTGGAGCATTTCAGTGCGCGTGTTACGCATGCGCGTGGCACTCATTCTGCTGGACGTGGTCGGCAAAGATGATCCAAAGGCCTCTACAGTTGACCAAAGGCGTCACATTAAATCTTTGTGTGGGCGGGGAGTACATGAGAAAGGCAACGCTTATATATATATATATGTATATATATATATTGGTGATATATGTATATAGATACCTGAGACGGGGGGGACGAAAGCCAGAAGCCACCAAACGAGTGTCTCTTTTTCTGGCGGGCATCGCGGCACAAGACACATGGTCGGCAGCTTGCGATTCAGCGGTGCCGCGGATGCGGAGCGGCGTATGTAATGGTGATGGAGGGAGCAGAGAAGCAAGCCGGGCGGCTTTGGGATAAGTTTGGTATGAAAGAAGTAGTGAAAGAGAAATGTGATACGTTGTATGTTGGTGGAGGCCATCGTCACAAGGCAATGGCATGTGTTTGTCACACGCAGGAAGGTACGCATCTTTGGGCCGTGGACCCAGGCTGACTAGATTTGGCCAGGGCTGCCAGCAAAACGGCAACGTCATGAGTCAGTAGTGTCTAGAATTTATCCATCTATCTGTCTATCTATCTATCTCTATCTATCTATCGATCTATCTGTCTATCTATCTATTGTCTGTCTATCTATCTATCGATCTATCTATCGATCGATCGATCTATCTATCTATCTGCGCCGCCAAGCCGGAAAAACGTTCGGTGCACGTGGACGCCGCGAGAAGAATCGACCGAGGAAACGGTACAAGTATAGTAGAGACTAGGGGGGTTGCTCTGTACATGGGTGCCTGTCTCCACTCCAGTGCTCAATGCCCATTGTCCAAATAGCCCCCACAGCCCTTCATGATGCTAATGATGCACTACTCGGCATCCATTGCATCACTCGCATCACCAGACCCCATGTTCACTGCTTTTCTGACCCTCGCTTTGGAGCGCTCTTGGGCGCTCTCCCCCACCAAGCTCCGGGTTCACCCTCTCAAAATGTGCCTTTTAGCGCCCTCCCTCCCCCCACACCCCCTTAAGTCACTTCGTTCGCTCTAAAAGCTCAAGCCTAGCCTATCGGCTGGCTTTCGTAATATATTGGTGTTCTTTTCTGTTGGCTTCTGCTGACGTTTGGTCCGTTTGGTCACTTTCCCTGGCGAGCCTTTCCTTCCACTTACCTGAAGCCTCTGCCCGCAAAACCTGCGCAGGCTGTGACCGCTGAAATTCTTGTCGGGCTTGCCAAGCAAAGGCACTCATTTAACATCATTTAAGCTGTTTCAGCATGTGGCTTTTTTTACGTCAGATTCAGATTCCAAAGGTTCAACGTGCGTAGCCTTGAGCGAAAGTGCGAGCTGCAAAGCGCTAGATTCTTCACAATCGATGCTCCACTTGACTCCTGGAGCCCAAATCGGAATCTTGCCGAGGCTGTCTTTCAACGAGAAAGCTACTCCAAACAGCCGTAGCACCTTGACTAAGCACAGTGATGACCTGGCAAACATCAGCAGTTCAGTGCAGTAAAAGACGCAAAATTTCAGATCTCCAACTCTTGAAACCAACTCAGCCAGGGAAGCTGGTCCCTGCAGTTGAATTGAAATCTCGGCAATCTGGACCTCCTGAGACATGAAAAGCCAGAGTGGATTCCGGGCAGCCTTCATTGCTACAATTTGATTGGTTTCATTCACTTCTAGGGACCTGCAACAACCAATCATCTCACATTGCTGTCTTTGCTGTGCCTGAATCATCTTTTTTGCTTGTTTTCGTGTTTTCTTTGCAAAAGCCACTCAACTGTCAAACAATCACACGTGGATTCCTGGCCTCATTACCAAGGAGTAGCAAAGGAGGCTCTGCTCGAACAAGCATCAATTGTCTATTCACAACCTAGAGAGGAACAGAAGACAGAGATAGACCTCTAAAGGTTCTCTTTTGTTTCAAGCGATAAGTACAGACAGGTGCCCGACCAAGTCTACACCTGCCATGAGAACAGCCACCTGAGTGCAGAAGGCGAACGAAAACAATGAAAGAATGAAACCAATCCTTGTTCCAAGGGGCCCAGGATGTCACCACCTCTTGGGCAGAGCGAGCTAGCCTCAGCTTAAATGTGTCCCTTCCACCTTTGAAGGGTTATCTAAGTTTAAAAAAAAAATATATATATATATATATACAGTATATAATTGTTTTTTACTTTGATTGCCGATACGTTCGACTGGTGCTGACTGTGTGACCTGAGTTGATGCCGCGGCTTTGGGCGACGCTCCAAAGCCTGACATAAATTGCAGCTGGGGGGGCACAGGCCGTGAGGCTCAGGAGTAGCTACGTCACTTTCTTTTTCTTGGGAGAGGTGGCTAGTAACTAGTAGCTACTAGTACGCTACTACCTACATTGACGCAGGATAGCTCACGCTTCTTCAAGGAAGCGCTCACACTAATCATTTGGTTCCTAGATTTGTAGGGAAACTTAACTTATCTATATTAGGGGGAACTACTAAGCTTAAGCCTAACTAAGGCTTAAGCATCTTAGACTTGGAGGCTTTAATGATTTGGGTCCTATATGTTTGGGAAACTTATGACACATGGCAGTGGAATTGCCAAGATCTTCTCCTCATCACTTTCTCTCGAAGAGCTTTGCTGCTCTTCTCGGAGAGCCTGGCCTCTTCCCTCAGCCTTGATGGAGCCTCCTGTAAGGAAAAACGAAAAGGCGACGAGGGATCAGAAGGGTTTGGACGTAACAAGAAGCTACTAGTAACAAGGTGCCTTACTAGTAGTAACAAGGTGCCTTACTAGTAGTAACAAGTGCCTTACTAGTAGTAACAAGAAGCTACTAAAGTAACAAGATGGGATGTCACTGGATTGTTTAAGGCTTGAGGCTGGGACCCAGTTTGGCTGAGCGTTTCCAGCTTGACCAGTATTTACCAACTTCAGAGGCTGGGATCCGGTTTGGTTGGTGTTGAGAAACGGTCTGACGTGCCTTTTGGATCCTTTTGGGAGTTCCTTTTGCAGGGAGTTGCAGCCTGGCTTCAGGATTGGCTTTAGAACACTGGCACGTGGTGCCCTCCCCAAAAAGCAATCAAGCAAGAACATCTGGTAGATCTTGACTCCTGTGGCTGGGAAGGGGAGATCCGAAGCAAAGCATGGGGAGCTTCTAACCATCCCAAGAGGCCCAGAACCCATAAAACTACCAAATCTCCTATGGCATGTAGAGCTGGCTCGAAACGCAATCCATTCTGTTCCAATGGATGCTATGTCCGTTGTTTGGGAGCCGCAGAGAAGGACCAAGGACAAAGTTACCAGGGCCCAAAGAACATCAAGAGGCCAAAGGACCAAAGGGGTAAACACCTGGGGACATATCCGTTATCCTTGCTTCTATTGGGGACACCTGCCTTCCAGTATGTAGTCCCATCTTGAATCTCGTCGCCCGAGCGAGTAACTTCTCTCAGTCATCTTTGTTGTCTCCTCTGAGAAGGGCTCCGGGGTCGAAGTGAGCAAAGGCACCTCCTCACAAGGCATGATCGGGCGAATTCCAACGAGGAACACACGGGAGAGCCATGGCACCAATGGCACCTTGCTACTAGTAACAAGGGCATTACTACTAGCTAGAAGCTACTAGTAACAGGAGCATCGCTACCAATGGCACCTTGCTGCTGAAGTGCTTCTGCAAACTTTGGATCCATGTCCTCAGCTGCTGAACTGACACATGGAAGGCCTGAGGCAAGGGCCGGGCAAGAGTCTGCAATATCCCTGCTTTAAGCGCATTAGGTTGCACCGATCCGTATGCAAGTCTAGTCTGGGTCTGCTAACTTTGGGATCCAGAAGAGCAAGACGGAAAGGACCACCTGAAGAGCAAGATCTGCCGCTTAAGACAGCGTGTCCAGAGCTTAGCTATTGGATTCAGATATTGTCAGCAAGCTAGTGGGAGCATGACAGTCGCCAAGACCACCTGGCCCAAGGAAATACCTGAGGACAAGCGGTCCCAAATCAACTCTGCTTTCAAGCCAGCCTTGCAGACGAAATCTGGACAAAATACGTGCTGTGATTAAACCTTTGAATCTACCCGCAGTTGAACAAAACATCCTGAGTCAAGCACCGGAAGGCAAGAAATATGTGGACGCCTGCAACACCTGAAATTTCTGAACATAGTCAGAAAAACTCGAGGCTTTGCACCGTGCAGGTGTGTTTGCGACTTGTCGAAAGCAATGCACTCCAGGCCCTCCGCCACTACGATTGTCGCTGTTGACACGAGCCATAAGGGCTTCATTGGACGGATTATTGTGACATGGATCGAAACAAGTGAAACTCAATGAAACGGCGTTTTTTGTTTTCGTCTTTTTTGTGAAACTCAGTGTTACATGCTCTGTGTCAAACAGTTTGAGGGAAAGCGGTTGGGCCGGGAAGCGCTCTTAGCGTGGCCGGGTGGGTTTGGGTAAAGCTTCGGCGGTATTCTCGCTGTCAGAAACGGTTTGTGATGCGTAACGCTGGAGGGTCCTTTGGAATGTCTACATGTGTCTACATGTGCTTTCAATTCTGTCGATCGTGTTCATCAAAACATCAAGTCCGAGAAATGATCTGCATGTTTTTATGAAATCTAGTAATATGTAATCTGCATCTAATATGTAATTCTCCAAATCTGCACTCTTTTAAATATCCACACATGTGCTTGGACAGAAGTTCTTCCAAAAGCTGGTCAAACTCAAGATGCGGACTGTGCCATGCCAGCCTATGCAGTTTGGATTATTATGCGGAACACGGTCAACCGAAAGTGTGTTGAGCACAAGCCCTTCTTCAGTCGAAGCATGGGCACCACGTACCAGGTAGCATGCAGCAAATCCTGCACAATTCTTTGCCCTGGCAGTGCTACAGCCTCTGTGCAAGTTTTGCACCGGAGAGAACTCTGGCACCAAGATTTTGATAAGTGCCAACAAGCCTACTTGACTCCAATACACTCGTCTTCAAGCCATTTCAAATAGCCCTCGTTTCCGCCAATCGCTGCCCATGCCACTGCTGCATTGGAGCTTGCGTCCACCAAAGCCTTGCACTTCAGGACCTGAGCCGCAATGTACAAATCGCTGACAGAGGCTTCACAAAGGGCAGGAACCTTTTGCAGCATATTGTGCAAGTTAGCCCTAGAGTCGGCTCTCTAGCTGCAAGTGAACTGCGAAACTCACTTCGACAAACTCGTCTAGGTTTAGAAGTTTAGATCTGCTCCTTTTCTTGCTGACACTACTCATCCCCGGTCGCCATCGAATACGAGCTGTCACAATTTAGGGGACACATATCACATGTCACATCACGGACATCTTATATGAGGAGTCTGCGCAAAGGACCAGAATGGCTAGGCAGGCTCTGCAATCTAGCTCTTCATTCAAACATGTTCTCCAATCCAACCTTAGACTGGCACACTGTGGACCGGATAAACGTTCTAGCTGTGGAGTCTTTCCCTTGCGAGTACAGACAAACAACTCGTGAACGATGTGGGTCTGAGACCCGAGAAAACCGTGCCAAATCCGCGATGCCAAATCCACTGTCTTCACAGCCAAAAGCCCTGTGGAGGTCGTCTGCGCACATGCCACAACTCGTTGCTCCACGAGCTTCCCCTAAACAGAAGGGCACTATTGGTTTTACGCTGCAAGAATGATTTGGATGCGGTATATATAATCCAAGAATAGGAGCAAGTCAGCTAAGGATGGTAAAGCAGGAGGAATGTTTAACGTGCCAAGGCTCCGCAAGCTCAGTTGCATCATGTGTAGAAAGTTGAACAATGCCCTTCCTAAGCTATACTGGGCACGTTCTGTTGAATTTGCCTGCATCCAGTGCATAGTACGGACTCTTGAAGTTGCAAGTCCAGTGACTTCATGTCTTTTCTCATTCAAGTCACGATGTCAACAACTTCATGAAGCTGCCGGCCCAATTACAAAGGCTGCCAAGGGACCAGTACATATGTTGATCGGGCACATCAGCCAAGTTGTAAATCATCATCGGAAGATCGTAGCTGTGAACCTTCCCGATGGCATCCTTCACCGTCTCAAATGGTGCCTCTTTTGACATCACTTCAAGAGCTACTCAGGCTGGTTGAAGTAGAAGAGAAGTTGAGGGTGACGTATCCCAAACAAAAAGCAAGTGCATCAAATGGCGGCAGTACAAAACCACAAGGTGCAGGAACAAAGCTGCCCAACACGGATGCACAGTGAAACCTACAAATTGGTGTCAACAACAAAATCCAAAATATCCAATGGAAGAAAAGGAAATCTAAAGGAGGTCTAAAATTGTCTAAAAATAAAGTGTGAGCTAAGGAACAACGGTAGTAACAGCCACCCGCCACTCAGGGTCGAAGTGCACCTTGCCATCCCACCAGTAGTAGCTATGGATCGCCTCCACCACAACCTTGCTTGAATTGAAAGGGGTTTAGGCCCTTCCGAAGAAAAATACACAAAAGTAAAAGAAAAAGTCATCGTAGTGGTTTGAGGGCTATCGTATGCACCTGCACAAGTCCGTGCAAGTGTCACACGCCTCTGCATCTGGCACATCAGCATTGCTTGCTGCCACTATTTTCTGGGCTTTGTCTGGAGCATCTTCGGTTGTCCACACTGTGATGGCCTTATTGGCAGCACAAAAGACTCCTGCCGGCAGCAAGCTTGTTTCATATCCTCTTTCTGAGTTTTCATATGCAAATGTATGCCCCAATGTATGCACTGCACAGCATGCCTTGCTCTCATACTTGGTCACGAGGCATTGTCATCTTCTCCACAGCTGCTCAATGCACCACGTCTCGAAGGCATTGTAAAATGTCCACCTCAGGGTGTACGAACACCTCGCATCACCTCAGATCACCTCGGATCACCTCGGCACATTATGCCGCATGCATTTCAAAGACTGGCGAAGGCTTGAAGGCCTGCAGTGGTGTTTGCCAACTTCACCTTTCTCACGTGTCCATGGAAGTGGCGTATCGAGACATTGAGTTTCGCTGCCACATTGAGCACCTTGCAGCGAGCGTATCCAGATTCGAGTCACTCCGTTTTGAAGCATGACAAATTTGCAATGGTGTCTTTACAGTAATTACTAAATTATCATGATCTATCATGTATATGCTCTGCGGATCATTGTGAGCCAAGGCACGGCCGCCTTTTCAAAGGAGAAAGATTGCAATGTGCTGAGCAATGCACGCCGCATTACCATTGATTCACGTTTGGAAAACGCAAAAAAACAATCATAATCTTGCCGTCGTCCTTTGTTTCCGAAAGCCACACTAAAGAAGGGACATTGCAACAACTCACCACTGTTATCAAGTCTGACCATCCCACCGTCAGTCTGTGAACACTCTGCAGCTGGAAGTCTGAGTCTGAAGCCCCAACACTGCGCTACCCAAACCATGAGGTAGAATGCAGTGATACAAATTGTAAATAATTGAACATTTCGCAATTGATTTCAGCATAGTTCATCAGGCTAAATAAAGAAACACATAAACAAAAGGGGTAACTAAATATCAAGCGAGGAAAAAAGGACAGTGCAGTACTGATTGCAGCATCTGACCACAGACTTTCCGCTACTCCTCTCCCTCCTAGTCCAGAAGAGAAACGCGTGACTCCTCTCACAGTTGAGAAGAGACAACGTTCCCTGGCGTGAGCGAAGAAATGACGAATTGTGCATGTTCAGTGCACTCTGCGCTGAGCCTAAGTGGAAGACTCTTTTAGTGTTCTTCCACTGCTTGCTACTCGCTCCTGCAGGCCCAATTGATCCAGCTACCGAAAGCTGATTTTTTCAAAAGGGCTCTGCTAGCTCTGTCGAAGGCCACAACAAAAGACTGGAACGCGATTAAATCAATGAAGGTGTGCAGTCATACGACAGGTGTTGATGCTTCATAACGCTACCTTTTGTATTCGCAGTGGGAACTTGGGAAATCTTCATCGAGGGCATGGCTGTGTAGGCAAGGGCAATGAGCCTAAAACATGAGACACTGAGAGGCTTCTTCAAAAAAGCATCAGTGTGCCAGGGAAAAGATGTGCAGAAACCAGCCGTCATGATGAGATGCGTAAGGCCAAAGGAACCTCACGGCTTTGAGAAGCATGCGCCGCATGTGCACAAAAGAGTTGCAAGGGCTGGAGGTTAGGAAGTCGCCACAATGACGACCCCAACCAGCCTACCATCAAATGCGGCGCAAGCTAATTGACAATCCTATTTACATTATTCACACTATCTACAAGTCGTCATGCTTGCCAATTGATCCAGAGGCTGGAAGCCTCTAGACTGTATGACTCAGAAACTACTTGATCTGTTCAGAAACAGCATCCTCTACTCCTCTATCACCCGGCCAAGCACAGTCACCACTCAACCGCTCAGGACCTACCGGGCACAAAGTTGGCAAATTCTCCTCTTTTTTTAGCCCGCTCCTCTCTCCTAATACTGAATATATGTTACAGTATCTCTTTTTCTTTCGTCCGGGGGGGAGGGCCGAGTAGAGGTACGTAGTGGCTAGGGAGGTAGCTAGCTAGAAGCTAGGTAGCTACAAGAAAGCAGGATAGCTCACCCCTCTTCAAGGAAGTTCTCCCCGCCGCCGTAAAGGCGGCGGGGGGGAGTTTGATTGAAGAAGCGCTCGCGCTATTCATTTGGTTCCTAGATTTTTTGGGAACTTAAATATTGATATAATCTTGATAAATTATCCGATTAATTCTCAATTTGATTCAAAGCGAAGGGTCCCACAGCAAGACTTGGTTACTGAGCAATTGTGACACGCCTGTTGCTCAAACGCATTGCCCAGTTTTGGCATAAATTCCTGCCCAGCAAATACATGCAAAAAGTCTGCTAGGCGGAAGACACTCTCCGAAGCCAAGCTGGGCCCAGGTGCGTAGACTCCCTTACTCAACCAGGTCTTCTTAGGAGCTCCATGCTCCATGTCCCATGTCTGTAATATCTACCATATTTTGCTACACAAAAATATGTGTTGGAGGATACAGATAATGGTGTTTGTTCGCTTCTCAATGAAATACCACAAAGGAGAACGAGTTCAGAATCAGGGTCCTCGCGCAGAGCATCGCCATCTAAGCCACTCAAGACCTGCCAAGGCAGCAGAAGCATCATCAAGAAGGCGAATGGATGAAGACAGCCAGGAGCAAACTAGAAGTGTCAGAAAACCGGGCAGCAGGGCCATGTTTTGGAAACGATGCACTGGCCAGTCGTACTTTGGCAAGAACTGGCCATGCATGCCTGGCAATTTTGCTGGTTAGAGCCACACAGCGAATAAGGCGATTTCCAGCCTTGCCCCTCCAAGTTTGCTAATCCAATCTGCAAATTTTCAATTGCCACTACGTCCTGGAAGAGGCTGCGAGCAAATTGCTCGGGTTGTGAAATCAAGACATTGATACTGCATTGCTTCTTCCACCCTCAACTGCTACTACAGCAAGGGTTCTACTGCCTCCTTGCATTTTAGCTTCTGATTGGTGCCTGCACTACTTAGACCGACATCTGCTTCCGGTCCTTACGAGTGGTCTACCCTGTCAAACAAACTATGTCCTCATCATTGATGTTCGTGACGAAGTCCATCAAGGCTTGACATCTCTCTGTATGCCTTGGTGCTAACGTTCTGCTGTGCAGTTGTCATTGTCAGGATGATCTTTGTAAAGACTTTGCATCCTTCCCACCCACCACTTGGTTGCTGTGTCCTGTGGCATTGGAGCGGCCCATCTGGGTTTGCTGCTCATCTTCACTCACATCAGCCTTGCGCGCTTGTGGCGCCATGAGCAGGGTCAGCTTCTCCTTGCGATCTGTGATCTGGCTGATCTGGCTATAATTTTGTCAAACATTATATATACTCTGTATGCTCTTGTGTATCCTGGTCTAGCCTTGTCTCCCCATTGAAGTTCGTCAAACAGAGGCTACTACTGATCTCTGCATTGAGAGGAAAAAAATGGTGCAACCAAACTATAGGAAAGGGTGTATCCTCATGCAATTCGCGTCTGGAAATGTTTGGAATGGATGACATGTTGTTTGGAAGAAGATCCCTGACAAGAGAATTCAAGAAGCGGCGGGAGTAGAGACTTAATTGAGTTGCACAACACCTTAAAACCACTGCTTCTGCAGCAGGAGAAACAAACTGCATCGCAGCGAAGAGTTTTACAGCGGGAGCGCTGTTTTTGACAGCATGGAAAGTGTTGCGGTTGAACAAAGAGAGGAAGAGTGAGAGAGAAGGGTGTTTGTCTTGGCTCAAGTCCTGTGGTCTAAGAGAGTGAAACTTTGGCACCACTCAGCCCTTACCTTCTTTTCTCCTCTGATAGACTCCAATCTTAGAAAGGACTTATGGGTGCAAGTGCAAACCAAATCATCGAACTTGTCAGGCTCCTCTGTCCGTCCAGGTGTCTTGGACGGTAGGGTCAGCAAGGTGTACACCTAGGAGCTAAGCTGGGTGCAGGTGCATCCTTTGGAACGACAATGTCAGTAACAAGTCCCAGGCTGAGTGTGGATAGATTGTCACCTGTGGACATCAGCTTGATGTCGGTTCCACATAAAAGGTCAAATGGGGAAGTGTCAATGATAAAAGCTTTATGAAAGCGTTGGAGGCGAGTGGCAGAGACATTGGGGAAGATATGGAAGAACAAAGCCGCCTGAGACCTCAGAAACGTGCTTGTGCACCACAGGCAGTCAAAGTTCTCAAACTCATGACTGAGAATCTAGCTCAACTTCCCGCAGTCTTGGAAACCTGTTGAACTTCACGCTGTCCTTGAAGCAGACTTGTGGTATACAGCAAACACCGGCTCAAAAAAGTTGAGCCTGTACAGCTGGCAAGCTAGTGCCTTGTGAATTAAGGCCTGCACACCTGGTCCTCCACAATCAGTCAAAGGCGATGTCACAAAGCCCACATATTGGCCATCACCTTCCGCCAAAAGGTTTAGTTGTCTTGGAAGTCGCCACTTTCCCTTCCCTTCCCGTCCCTTCCCTTCCCTTCCCTCCTTCCTTTATGCCTCTCTTTCTTTGCGTTTCTTCTATTCGAGTCTTTTCCGTCCTTGTCTTTGTTCTTTTCCTTCTGGACATCTTGAGACCTTGCATGACCTATCTTCCTTGGTTTGTTCTTTCTGTTTTCTTTCTTTTCGGAACTTGAAAGCGACTGGACCTCACTAATTACTTCTTACTACCTCGCGCGCAACCATCCATGACAAGTGAGACGCAAATGAGCGTGCCCAATTCTCTGGAAAACATGCAGGTGAAACCTCTGCTCTTTACATCTGACTGGTAGCAGCCCGTGCAACCCACAACAGATGTAAGGCACCTTGGTATGGAAGGTGATCATCTACACGAGAAAACCTGCCACACTGAGCAACACTGTCAGTTTCCCTAAAACTCTAGGAACCATATGAATAGTGTAAGCACTTCTTCAAGGAAGCTCCACCCCCTCAAGCAGAAGGAACTTCCCCTGAAGAAGCGTGAACAACTATCCTGCATGCATGTGTAGTAGCTTAACTAGTTAGGAACGTGTTTAGTCCCTCAATTAAGTAGGCGCCTACTTAATTGATTAAGGGAGGGCTCAAAAGATCCTGTGATGATGAAGAGATTCACCAAGTGCACCTTGAGAGTTCTGGATGCACTGCATCGATGTGGTAGAAATCGACAAAGTTCTCTGCAATGAGTTTCCAATCTCCTAAAAAACAATAAAGCTGTCTTTACCTGCCTCCTTACTTAGTTAAATTTTACTTGCTTTCATGTCAGTGTGAACCCAGCACAGGACAAGAAGGTTTGAAGCGCTCAAGCACCATGTTTTGCAAGAAAAGGGGCCTCCAATATCGTACTTCTTCTGGGAGAATAACTCCATGTCATCCTCGCCACATGGTTTTTGTGTTTGATTGCATATTTTTCGGAATAGTTTTTGGGTCGCACTATGTCGCACTGCATTTTTCAACTTGCTCAGCCCCTCCAAATCGTACCGCTGCAGCTTCTCCGGCAGGTCCCCCAGAAAGTCCCGCAAAGGTGGAGGATTGGGCAACTGGTTCAAGAAGACCAGACCTTGCGGAAAGCGATGTTCGTTTGGTTCCCACACTTTTACGCCCTTCTTTAAGCGCATGCATGTTCTTGTATTTTAGTAAATGTCCCGAGTCATGCTCACTAAAACATCCAAAACTGACACAAATAGATTCACTGCGATAAATTGACATAATACGCACTTTCCATTATCTTGCAAAAGGGCTGCAATCAACGCACACGCATAAAGTGTACAAGTCAACTGTTCTTTCTATGATGCTAGTAACGCTATGCTTCGGCACACTGATTCCTATGGAAAATTGTTCGCGCTCCTTCTTGGCGATGTAAGACTCTAGAATGTGTCTTTGAGCTCACTTTGCCACCATAATCCATTTCATTCTTCTATCTCTCTCTGTGAGTCGTCTTCTCTCTCAGGAACTGGGTTTCCAAAGATTGATGACACTTCTGTTTGTGATCTGGGTAATCTCTCCTCAGACTGCACCTTCTAACAATTCTTGATAGCTCTCCATTTCTCTACCACATCTGCTGCCTCTTGCAGTCCTCTACCCACAAAGTTCAAGCATCTTTCCTTAGGCTGCTCGAGTTCTGCTTCAAGTCGACCACACATTTGGCTTGCCTGCTCTGTGGTGTATTGTTTTGCGGTTGATATTTCTCTGTTTGCTATCCTGAATCTTCTGTTCAATGGTCCTTCTGATGGTGTTGCTCCATCTGTAGCTGCTTTCAACATCACCCTGTGTCCACAATATTGTCCTTCTGTTGCCTGCATATTCTCCAAGCTCCTTCTGGCTAAGAAGTTTCCTGCGCTCAACTCTCCTAACACATCAGGCGATGATTGGCTGAAGTTCTGGTACCTCATGCTCAATGAAACCTCCATTAAGAACCAACCCACATGAATGCTCCTGGCCTAGTTGTGTGGAAGATTCATTCTCCCTTCATAGTTCTATCCCACTGATTTCTTTTTCAACTTCTCTGACACCGTCTCCAAGCTCTGTGAGCTGGAATTCTGCATTGTCTGTTCTCCACTCAGTATGCTGCAAATTTTCCCAACAGCGTTTCTCCACATACTGGTATAGCTCATCAACTTTCTCTTCAAATTCTATACCTCGCCTTTCAAGTCTTGTGATTATCTTGTGATTATCTTTCAAGTCTGCGTGTAGCGCTTCAAAATGTTTGTAGATTCTGAAGATCACTAAGCTCACTGCTACAAAACCATTACTGTTGAATACAATATTTCCACTCTTCGTTTGGTTTCTTCGCTGCACCCATGGCTGTTGTCTCCATTCGGGATTGCTTCTGTAACCATTGGCTGCAAGCCCTCCAACGCGACTATTCTCACAAGCATCTTGACAATTTTAGTGACCTTTCTTGCAAAATTTTTATTCTCATCAAACACCGTTCTCATATTATCCAACTCTCTTGGTCTTCACTGCGCCAGTAACCAATGAGGTTCAGCAAGTATCTGACTCTTTGTCCTCCAAGTGGTTTTGCGTTGAGGTCTGCTAGCTGCTACGCTGCTATCTGGCGGTACTTGTACCATCTTGAAGTCTTTCCTGTTCTGAATCCATAGCAACTTTCCATCTAAATGTCTCACTTTTGAAAACACCTCTCTTTGTCACAAGTTGGCGCTCGATGAATCTGTGAAATGTAATGGTGCACCTTTGTCCCAAGAGCAAATTCCAGAATTGCCCGAATGTAGATTCCATCTGCGCTGAGGAAGCTATCGCGGGTAGGTCTGCTTCGCGTGAAGATAGGCTCATAATCTTCTGTGTCCTGCTGCTGTTGAACAATGGACCACTGCTCAATGCATGGAATCCTCCTGATGTTGACATTCTGTGGCTTTTGTTTCCACTGCAGTCTGAATCTGGGAATGTCTCCAAGCACCAATCGCTTTCTCCTTTCTTGACATAATCTTCTCCCGCTTGTGGAAACTCAAGCACTAGACAATAGTCCAAAGTCTTCTTCAAGTATCCCAATACTTTTTCAAGTGATGACATGACATAGCTGTAGGGTTTGACGTTCCCGCAGCCAATTTTCAATTCCTTCACTGTACATGCTACATCATACCTCTCTTGACATAAGTAAATGCCTGACCCAACAATGCTTCTGAAAAGGCTAATCTTCTCTTGCTCATGTAGGCTAATCTTCTCTCTTGTCTTCCATCTGGATTGAGTTGTCTGGTGGTAGTTGTTGAAGTTTGATAGGTCCAGTCTGCTCTTCTTGGGCTTTCAACATCTCGATGTAGTTGCCTGATTGGATTCATAGTCCCCCAACTTCTCGCTTGTACGTCGCCAATCCTCTCCATCTTGCTCACACGGTGTCAAGTTTGCCTTGAATCTTTGGAAAAGGTTTCATTGATGTACTTTGAATCTCCTGTGAAAATCAAGTCATTCACATGATCAAGATGATACTCTTCTCATTTCCTCCTAGGCGTGGACATTCAGCACTGAACTTGTAGCTGAGTTCCCGTGTGAGATACTCTGTGAAAAAGTCAAACCATGCTTTTGGTCCAACTTTGTCCAGGTAGATTTCTCTTCATCAAGAACTCTTCTCCTCTCAAGTTCACTTTAGATTGCTTCTCTTGTGGAACTTGTAGAAATGCGTCCTTCACATCAAGACATCCTAGTATCTGCGCGATTGCTCCTTCTCCCTCCTTGGTTCCTCTTCACTGATTCGCTGCAAGAATATTGTGGGTAGATGCTTCAGCACATGTCCGGAAATCGCTGGTGAGAAAATGTCACCTCTCTTTCCTTCAGCGAAAGCAGTTTCTCTTGCAACTAGTCTTAATTTTCTCTTCCACCTCTTGACTGAAGCCCCATCTCCAAGTCGATATGCGTGTTGTCAAGTAACTGATTCCTGTTGTACTTCCTTCCGGTCTCTCTAGCACTTGCAACTTCTGGCGTCTTTTCTCTTCTACCTCATCAGCTACTCTGTCTACCCACTCTTCTGGATCTACTTCAGGCCCATGTTCTCCATCACGCCACAAACATTCAGGTAAGTTACTTATGGTAAATTGATCTCTCCCAAGTCTGATTCATTTTCTTCATCGCCCCAGGTGATTGCTGAATACCCCAACAATTGACTGAAATTCATCAACTCCTGCACAATTAGGCGAAAGTGGCCTTTGCATCCTAATGGCACAACATGAATGAATCCAGTCTGGCTGTCAACTGCAACTAGCCAACACATTTTTTCTGCTCCCGTGGGCACTAAAGTGTCGGTAGGTTCGCGATGCAACAGCTTTCAAAATTTCCGCGCGGGAGCCATTTCGCGGGAGCCGTGCTTTCATACTCAGTCCGTTCGTCCAAAAAGTTATCCCAGATGTGTTTGTGTGTGAAATGGCGCCATTGCTGTCTCGGACCTCCAACCCTCCTCTTGCCAATGGGAAAACCACTGGCAGAACTGGGCGCATAAGTGATTTGTCTTGATGGGTCATTATTGTGAGTTCTACTCATATGTCTAGCCAACGCAGCTTTCTTTTTGAGGAGGAGGTCCGAAAACAACTGGATTTGTTGCCCAGCGTGTTCAGAAGCAGTTCTCAAGACAAATGTGTTTCTTTGATTTACAAGTGGTCTCCAGTCCCAAAATCAATCTCAGGCCAGTGAAATGCATTTATTTTCTTTAACATGCTTTGGGTGAGATGAACGGTCTCTAACCCAAGAGTAAGTTTGTAGTGGATTACCGCATGATAGACACGAAGCCTCCATCTAGGGGTGCAATTTGCTGCTTGCCAGAATGGCTTGGGCTTGAACCATGTTTTCTTCCTGCCTTACATTCAATGACTGGGTGATGTGATGT